GCATAGGCTTGTGTTGGTGGTATTTTACACTCCATATTAGGACAGGGAGCCACATTGGATTTACCAGAGCACAGTTAAGCCACTGCATTGCTCCTCAGTTAGCTATTTACTAGTACTAGTTGCCTTCACTTTTGCAAAAAACTGATATTTTCTGTATATGCTAGAGCAGAGGTACAGTGTGAATGACCATAGAAAGGATTTCTTGATCAATCATAATGAAAGTGACCTGTGCTATCCGGGAATCAAACCCGGGTCATCCAATTCATTGTCGAATGCTCTACCTATTGAGCTATTCGAGTTATTCAGACAGCTTTGGGGTTTATGGCAGAGTTTGTTTCCTTATAAAATTTACATTAATGTTTTTTGAATGCTTTTCTACTCTGGTAAAAAAAAATAAAATCAAAATTTAAAAAGCAAATTTTATTTTAGGAATGAACAGCAAACTTTAACAATCCAATATATAATATCATATGTGTTGAACATGTAGAAAATATCAAATATATACATATAAATGTAAGATCTTAGAGGTTAAAAAATGCATTAAAAATTCAATATAAGAATACAAGTACATGTAAGCTTTCATCAGTTATTCTAACCTAATAGGCAATCAATGTAAAATTTAGGCAATTTATGTACAAGTTAGGCAATCTATACTCAATTAAACAAACTAAAAATACATATGTGCATTACTAAGCACTACATATGTAGCACCTTTTGAAAACAAAAGTAAAAATGTGCTGCGTCTCAGGGTAATATACCAGTTCTCGGGTTGAAAATATCCTCTATCACCCGACAGCCGTGTGTTATTTATATAGTGTGTATCGATATTGTATCTGATATGAATATCTATGATATATATCGATATTGTGATACTCAATGACAGCCCAAAATTAATTAGTTTTAATTACATATCTAGAGTAATGGGAAAATAACATACGATTATGATACAAAAAATATGTTTGAACTAACTGATGATTAGTTTCAAAGTTACACACAATACTTTAACAAACATGTAAGATATTCAAGTGAAGACTGAACTGCTAGCAAGGCTTTGTTATAAATATTTAACACAAGAATAATGTTGATAACATGAACCAATCATCATAAAATGTCTTGAATAATTAGAGCTGTCATTAATTCAGTGCAAAACATATTGACGTTACAGCAATATCTGATGACAAATATTGATGATACAACAATATATCGATACATACTCTTAATTTCTTGTATGTAATTCTCTTTCATACAGGTTTAAATGATTTTAGTAAAACAATATGTTCTGATCATACAACTATGTTGTATTCTGTTTATAAATGTCCTTTGCATGATTTTTTCTAACCATTTTTTTGTCACCATTGCTATGAAATGTGTCCATTATGTGTGTATGACATGGCCACCTGCTTTTGTATACAATATTTAAATAAAATAATCAAAATTAATCATTCGTTCAAATTTGTATCAATTATTGTTTGACAAAAAATATCAACGATACATCAATAATCTTCTCTATCAATAACAGCTCTATGAATAATATTATGTGCAATCCCAAACAATTACCGCAAAATAAATAAATACTAGACCTATCACTGAAGGTGATTAATACCCCCACCAGCAACTTTTTGAAAAACAAGATATGTTTGTAAAACATGTATGCCCCCTATCAGCAGCCAATTATACATGTGATTAGGTTATTATGCATGACTTTTGACCCAGTGATCAAACAATTAATAAGGGTTATCAAGTATCTACTGGTCATGACCTTAACCTTTGACCCCTTGACCCAAAACTCAATAGGGGTCATCTGCTGGTCACGACCAATCATCATACAAAGTTTGAAGTTCCTAGGCCTAAGCGTTTTTAGTTAATTGATCAGAAACCGTTTTTACCTACAAGGTCAATGTGACCTTGACCTTTGACCCCTTGACCCCAAAATCAATAGGTCATCTGCTGGTCATGACCAATCACCATACCAAGTTTGAAGTTCCTAGGCCTGAGGGTTCTTTAGTTATTGATCGGAAACCGTTATAACATACAAGGTCAATGTGACCTTGACCTTTGACCCCAAAATCAATAGGGGTCATCTGCTGCTCATGACCAATCACCATGCCAAGTTTGAAGTTCCTAGGCCAAAGCGTTCTTTAGTTATTGATCAGAAACCGTTTTTACTTACAATGTCAATGTGACCTTGACCTTTGACCCCTTGATCCCAAAATCAATAGGGGTAATCTGCTGGTCATGACAAATCACCATACCAAGTTTGAAGTTCCTAGGCCTAAGAGTTCTTAAGTTATTGATCAGAAACCGTTTTTACTTACAAGGTCAATGTGACCTTAACCTTTCACCCCTTGACCCAAAACTCAATAGGGGTCATCTGCTGATCACGACCAATCATCATACAAAGTTTGAAGTTCCTAAGCCTAAGCGTTTTTAGTTAATTGATCGGAAACCGTTTTTACCTACAAGGTCAATGTGACCTTGACCTTTGACCCATTGACTCCAAAATCAATAGGTCATCTGCTGGTCATGACCAATCACCATACCAAGTTTGAAGTTCCTAGACCTAAGGGTTCTTAAGTTATTGATTGGAAAGCATTTTTACCTACAAGGTCAATGTGGACTTGCCCTTTGACCCCTTAACCCCAATATCAATAGGGGTCATCTGCTGGTCATGACCAATCACCATACCAAGTTTGAAGTTCCTAGGCCTAAGGGTTCTTTAGTTATTGATCGGAAACCGTTTTTACCTAAGAGGTCAATGTGACCTTGACCTTTGACCCCTTGACCCCAAAATCAATAGGAATCATCTACTGATCATGACCAATCACCATATCAAGTTTGAAGTCCCTAGGCCTAAGGGTTCTTTCGTTATTGATCGGAAACCGTTTTTACCTACAAGGTCAATGTGACCTTGACCTTTGACCCCTTAACCCCAAAATCAATAGGGGTCATCTGCTGGTCATAAACAATCACCATACCAAGTTTGAAGTTCCTAGGCCTAAGGGTTCTTTTCTTATTGATCGGAAACCGTTTTTACCCAAGAGGTCGATGTGACCTTGACCTTTGACCCCTTGACCCCAAAATCAATAGGGGTTATCTACTGATCATGACCAATCACCATACCAAGTTTGAAGTTCCTAGGCCTTAAAGTTCTTTAGTTATTGATCGGAAACCGTTTTTGTTTACAAGGTCAATGTGACCTTGACCTTTGACCCCTTGACCCCAAAATCAATAGGGGTCAACTACTGATCATGACCAATCACCATACCAAGTTTGAAGTTCCTAGGCCTTAAAGTTCTTTAGTTATTGATCGGAAACCGTTTTTGCTTACAAGGTCAATGTGACCTTGACCTTTGACCCCTTGACCCCAAAATAAATAGGGGTCATCTACTGATCATGACCAATCACCATACCAAGTTTGAAGTTCCTAGGCCTTAAAGTTCTTTAGTTATTGATCGGAAACCGTTTTTCCTTACAAGGTCAATGTGACCTTGACCTTTGACCCCTTGACCCCAAAATCAATAGGGGTCATCTACTGATCATGACCAATCACCATACCAAGTTTGAAGTTCCTAGGCCTTAAAGTTCTTTAGTTATTGATCGGAAACCGTTTTTGCTTACAAGGTCAACGTGACCTTGACCTTTGACCCCTTGACCCCAAAATCAATAGGGGTCATCTACTGGTCATGACCAATCACTATACCAAGTTTGAAGTTCCTAGGCCTAAGGGTTCTTTAGTTATCACTCGGAAACCATTTGGTCTACGGACCGACGGACCGACGGACCGACAGACCGACGGACCGACAAGTGCAAAGCAATATACCCCCTTTTCTTCGAAATGGGGGCATAATAAGTAGTCTGAAGAAAAAATTCAACACAAACTATCAACTGTGTACAAAGAAATATTTCAATTAATTGTAATCCCAACTGGGGTCTCCAAATAAGCTTGCTTTTCACAAAGTTTGATTACAATATCTCATTCCTAACTCTAGTTATTGTCCGGAAACCATTTTTCTATTTTTAGGAATGGTGACCTTGACCTTGACCCCAGGGGGTCCAAATGCAATACCAACCCAGGTCTTCATATAAGCTTGCTATACACCAAGTTTGATAACAATATCTCATTCCTAACTCTAGTTATTGTCCGGAAACCATTTTTCTATTTTTAGTAACGGTGACCTTGACCTTGACCCCAGGGGGTCCAAAAACAATACCAACCCAGGTCTTCATATAAGCTTGCTATACACCAAGTTTGATTACAATATCTCATTCCTAACTCAAGTTATTGTCCAGAAACCATTTTTCTATTTTTAGTAACGGTGACCTTGACCTTGACCCCAGGGGGTCCAAATGCAATACCAACCCAGGTCTTCATATAAGCTTGCTATACACCAAGTTTGATAACAATATCTCATTCCTAACTCTAGTTATTGTCCGAAAACCATTTTTCTATTTTTAGTAACGGTGACCTTGACCTTGACCCCTGGGGATCCAAATACAATACCAACCCAGGTCTTCATATAAGCTTGCTATACACCAAGTTTGATTACAATATCTCATTCCTAACTCAAGTTATTGTCCGGAAACCATTTTTCTATTTTTAGTAACCATGACCTTGACCTTGACCCCAGGGGGCCCAAATGCAATACCAACCCAGGTCTTCATATAAGCTTGCTATACACCAAGTTTGATAACAATATCTCATTCCTAACTCTAGTTATTGTCCGGAAACCATTTTTCTATTTTTAGTAACGGTGACCTTGACCTTGACCCCAGGGGGTCCAAATGCAATACCAACCGGAGTTTCCACATAAGGTTGCTATATACCAAGTTTGATTACAATACCTCATTCCAAACTCTAGTTATCGTCCGGAAACCATGATGTGGACCGACCGACGGACCGACCGACCGACCGACCGACCAACCGACCGACCGACAAGCTGACTCCTATATACCCCCCCTAAACTTCGTTTGTGGGGGTATAATAAAATTAAAACTACATAAAGATCTATGGTAATGCTATGAAATATATTATCACACATAAGCTTCTAGAAAATATTCTAGTAAAAAAACTATAAAATATATAAATAATTTTCTTCGGTAATTACATGTATATATATAAAAAAAATGGCAGATAAAGTGTAACTATAGTGTAACTATATAATGTTATTGTATAACAAATCTTATTGCCAACTTTTGTTGTTGAAATTACACTGTGTCCAATGAAATCATTTCATTCTTTAAAGGAACATTATGCCTCAGAAATAAATAAAAAATTTCCTTATTTAGAAAGGGCACACATGGGTTTAAAAGATGTTTAAATGATGGTTTTAGAACATTTTAGATACCACAAGTGAAAATATAATAGCTGGTGTTCACGAGTGAAATATATTTTAAACTTACATGCAAAACAAGCAAATTTTCTATTTATTTCATGATGCTTTTTTAGTGATTTTAAGTCATTTAAAACTGATTTTGTTTTGATGTCATAGTACCAATGTTGAAATTTAGATCAGCAAAATTTCTCAAGTTTTGTTACATTTCAACACCATGTATGCAGTCATTACTTGCTTCTCCTAAAGAATTGATTCCTGTTGATAATTGCATTTAGTTATGATATATTATTTTCATCTGCGTTCTAACAGTACGGCCACAGTGAAAATTATCAAATATAATTTCACTGTGAAAATTATACCTTATGGCACAACACACACTGTCATCTATGGCTATCTATAAGGGTTCATGTGAGAGAAGTGGGGGAAATAAAAGGCCTTGACTGACATTTACAATTTATGTAAAAAATATCAAGAGTTATGGCCCCTGACAATTAATGTTTATGAGGGAAAGACATATTTATATATAATTATGGCCCCTAGTTTTGTATATTGCCACTTTCCTTGGTATATGTAAAAAAATTATCTTGGCTGAAAGAAGTGATGTAATATTTTGTGACTATGTTCATTGAAGAACAGTTATATAAAAATGTACATGTAACAATCCCTCAACAAATGATAAAATAAGAACTTTCCATACATTATACTGTACATGCTTAAAACATAAAGTTTTTCCTTACATCAGAGCCAAAAAAGCACTATCACAATATAGAGTTATAGTCATTAATATCAATTAAAAAGAAAAAACTCAAATTCCCACATGTCGTTTGAAAATTCTTCTTTAACGCAGTCGGCTAGTCCAGTTTCTCTAAGACACGTCTCCAGATACTCCAAACGTTTCTCGAGGTTCTCCGATTTTATGTCAGCCAACAAGTTTTTCTGTCTAGTCTGTGCCAACATTTTGTTCTCGGCAACAGACGGCATTTTGCTGATGAGGTGTGGGTTGTTTACAAAGAAATGAGGAAGACGGTTACAGTTATACGCAGATCTGAGAAAATGAATGGCATCTGAAAATCTGTCTCCGAGTTTTTCGAAGGTCCACTGACTAGGTGCACTTTCTAGCAAGAGAAAATTTAGAACAGTTGAGATGTGATTTGAGGGTAATACGCCACGGTCTAGCAGATTATTCTTACTACATCCGGTCAGTAACGATTTTAGAACCATTAGACAGACAACATGGCACGAGTTAACTTTTGCGTGTCTCATCATTGAATTAATTCCTAAACTGAAAACAGTTTCAAATTCGCTAGTCCTGATCTGCCAAAGTAAGTCTGGATTTACGGGCTGCTTTCTATCTGATCTTTGTTTGTACTCGTAACTCGCATCCGTAGGGGTTGCGTACAGCATCGGCATCTGATACCAGCCATTCATTGGCAGAGGGAGAACTGGTGTGATTTGCACTTTAATATCAGTGTCGCCAAAACCAACGAGAGCCCTTGTTTTAATGTTTAATGTGAGTGTTGCTGTTGGAGCACCTTTAACCTGGAACGGCAATCTGTCCATGGCCGACCTTGACTTTGTATACAAAGAATGAAGACTTTCTTCGATCAACCACTCGGATGCTTGAGAAAAATCTTTTGCTGAAAGGCACGGCTTGTAAGAGCCATCAATTTCAAGATTAGACACAATCTTTTTATCATATGCTGAATATTTAGTGGAATTTACACTCACAGCAACCATTCCCGGAGGTATACCATTTTCAGAATTTCCAAACACCAAATCAGGAACGACTGGTGGCTGCACAACCATAAGTATATCTACATGATTTGGTCTCGCTACCTTTGTACCATTTCTGCACGACCCTTCACCAACAAATTGTATAAATCTGTAACCTGCCTTGCTTTCAATAGTGTCCAACTCTTGTGAAATCAAGAACAATACATAGTCTGTTACTAAACATGATGTTTTCCACATATTTCTTGGGATAGGACAAACTCTATGGAAGTAAGCAAGCAACTTCTGTGAAGGCCTGTTTAAGCTTGAGGAATCTGTTACATTCACAAAAGGGAATTTCCATTGTAAACTCTCAGAAAAAGTCTTATATTCCTGCCATGCTCTTTCCTGTTCCGCAGATTCTTTACTTTCAGAATTATCATCTGTTGCAGCGTCTGTAAGAGACTGTAACATTGGCGAGCTGCCAATTCTTGGTCGTCGGTTAAAGTTACGCCTAGCAAGCCTTGGTGTTGCTGGACATGTCTGGGATAGACTCTGTCCATCAGCTAGACCCCTTAAAAGTAGCTTATCAAGTTTCTTAAACAGCTTATCTGTAGTGTGATCAAGAAATGTAATTAAATTTGAACTACCTACAGCAGCATCATTGAAGACTCGGCTCTGATAACTAAGGTATACACCTTTACTCTTCGTCTTTTCAATTTCTTTATTTACATCATGATCATCATTATCATCCACTAAATTAGTAACTTCTGCATCAGAGTCATCTCTTTCTTTTTCTTTGACAACTTCTTTATTCACTTCAGTAACTATATCTTTCACCTTTTCTTTAACTTTCTTTTCACGCCTTATCTTTAGTCTACATTTGATCACACTGACACATTTTCTCACCAATACAATTGCAAAAATTATCAACAAGGTTGTTACAAATAGCAGAAGTGCCCAAAGACATATTTCTGCCACTGAGACTTGAACTTCCACACTCTCTATCACATAACATGGATCAGCTGTTTCTGAAGCAATTGAAGAAGAATCACCTTCATTTTTGTTCAAACCTAACAGACCTTGGAGACTTGAAAACAAATTTTCTCCAAGAACATTCTTGAGGAGGGGTGGTTTAGACGTGTCAGTTTGTGTCATGGATTCATGTTGAAATGAGTTCTGGGTTGCTTCCTTGTACTTTGCTGATCTCTCGTATATTTCACATTTGTAAATGGATACATTGACTTTGAGGTACTCATTTTCTTGAAGAGAAAACATTTCATGCCAGACATCCATCCCCTGAAGTAAACAAAAGAATACATATAAATGTAACTATTAATATTTAAATTGCAAAGCTTGCCCAATATGTCAATAAAACCATCACAAGCAAATACATGTATGGTTATGACAGAACTTTTGGTCTAAGAATATTCAGAGATTGGGTCTTCTGCCACTGGGTACAACTGACAAAGAAAGTTTGGAATTTTTAAAGCTTTACAGTCTTCAGAAAGAAAGGCTCCCAAGTTTACAGGACATACCATTACTATATTATGTTCAAGCTGTAAACACTAACTGACTTATGGGGAATATGCCCGGTAAAAATTGTGTCACTGGGACACACAGTTTTTGGGGCTATCATTACACTTTTTTTGATAGCGGTGAAAACTCCATAACACACCATCTTTGTGATAAACACAAACATTGCAGTGCTTTGTTAATTAAAGACTATAACAATGTTTACATTATCTATCAACTGTGTAAAGATATCACTAATATCACAATACAGCCTGTCTCAGACTATGAAGTGTGTGTCACAGGGTGAGAAAAATGTGCAGCCTTACCCAAACTCGTACCCACATTTCCTCCCCTTGTAAATGAAAGTTCTAGACCATGACATTCACATGTTCTCCCTATTGAAATTTGTCGTCAAATTTCTTAGGGTTACATTATGTTACATAGCAACGTAAATTAAACTCTGAACTATATGCAGTCATTGTCCCATATTGACCGCCAAATGTCACAGGTAGAGAAAAATGTGCAGCTTGACAGGGATTCCAACCTTGAACCCTCAAAATACTGTACCGCACCTCACCGGCTGAGCTATTGGGCCTCTTATACATTTTGTCCCCTTACAAATGTTATAGACTTGATAATTTTTTCTCCAATAGAAAGCACTTCAAAGCATAAAAGGCAAAATAGTCAGCATAATAGAATAAATCTTTGAAGGTATTACGTACAGTGTAACTGCGTGGATGTGTTATAATCACCGTTTAAACTGCACTGTTTCGATTTTTACTTTTTAGCAATTCAAAAATTTTAACTAAATGGAAAGACAGAGATATGTTTCAAGAATGTTATAAATCGGGTTTCTGTTAGGCATGATCGATTAAAGCAAGAACTACTCTCAAGTTGTTTTCTTAAAGAATTTTGTCTAAAAATAAAATGATAATGAATTTTGATGACAACAATGTTGCACTGCTTTCAATTTTAGGATAACATTATTCTACATGTATCATACATTTGTATGTTAATCAAATAATCAATTTACTGACACAAGGTATATAGTATGGTGGCTGATTTGTGCCATTTGTGTTTTCGCCCCTCGACCTAGCCAAGCGAAAAGTCGAGAATAAACAAGTTAAAATGGCAGGGTGCGGAGCGAAATATAGTTAATTGGCGAGGACGCTGGGCGAAGTTTAATACATAAAACTTCGCCCTGTGGGGGTGCGCAGCCAGATTTTAGAAATTAAACGGCGGGGACGAAAACACGCTAATTAGCAGGGGAAGTTTAATAAATAAAACTTCACTGCATGCCCCCGCTTATAAGGGTGTTTTCGTCCTGCCACCCCGAAAAGTTGATAATTAACAAGCTTAAATGGGGAGGGCACAGAGTGAAAACATGCTAATTAGCGGGTGCGCTAATTAGCGTGTTTTCCCTCAGCGCCCTGCCATTTTATTTCTTAAATCTCGCTCTGCACCATCGGGGCATAGTTTTATTCATTTTACTTCCCCCCAGCTCTTGTTAATTAGCGTGTTTTTGCTCCACGCCCCTGCCATTTTAATATGTTAATTCTGGACTTTTCGCTTGGCGGAGTCGCCCCATTGGGAAAAATCAGCCACCATAATATAGAGTTAATATATACCAGTATAATACCTGACCAGCTACATGTGTGTGTATGTAGTTTACCTTTTCAATTCATTTTTCAGAGACATAGTTGAGACATAGTTATCTATGTCTCTGATTTTTTGTACAAATTATTTTAAATTCATCCTTGTGTAAACTGATAAAGTTTATCATAAAGTCTTGCCGTTCCAATAATGATTAATTTATTTCGATATCTTTTTTTATTTACTTACCAAAATTCTAATCCTTGTCTTCACATGTAATTGACAGATCAGCTTTTGGGCACGACAAAGAAATATTTTTGTACCTAGGATAGTTTGGCAACACTATAATTTATAGAATCACCGTCTATCAAGATAAAAGTTACTTCCGGGTTGGTATTTTTTTAGAAAAATAATCTTCAACAAAACTAATGTGTGAATGACAGGTTAAGAGGATACCAAATAACTCAAATATGTTAATAGAGAAAATGAAAAACTTTGTTTGTGTGACGAAGAACCATGCTTAATTAAAGAAAATTATGTATGTAACACATTTTCGCGTTTAGGTATAAGACTGCTATTGAATTTGGTAAAATGTCGATTCGGCCCTGAATCAACTCGACATGGGTCAACTCGGCCCAGTATTAAGCTGACAACGTAAAGATCTTGTATTTAGTCTGAAATTTTGTGGCAGTAAATGTAAAGATAAAGGAAATGTTTGTTTTGTTTAAACTGTAATTCCATTTAAGAAAACATTTGTACAAAATGATATGAAACAATCATAATTTAGGTTCATGTACACATGTTTACAAATGGTATCTTCCATTCCTTAATAAAACTTATAAATAAGCATTCATATAAACGTGAAATAAACATTTTTTTCGTGAATTGTGACGAGTACGGAATTCATTCGTACCTGTAGGCAATAAAGCACGTGTGTAATAAAATGCAAATAGTATATATAGGGTCACGGGTAATATAAATCCGTGATAGAGTCTGGCTCTAAAATTATCTTTTGTCCGAGATAGAGGTATAGAGCTCTCAGACAAAACGCAGACAATAGATATGCATGTACAGTGAAAATGGACGTTGCAAAATTAGTACATTTAGAAAGAATTACAGTTACCGCTCGTAAATGAAAATGCATGTGTATAGTTGTATTTTTTCGTGACTTAAAATATTGTTAATTTTTTAGTGACTTATAAAATGTCGTATTTTGATTATGATGGTGTTTGTTTGATATATTTCGTATATTATTTTACAATTATTTAGGCAAATGTATTGGAAATATGCAGAAATAAATATCGAGTACGTTTAAACTATGACAAACTGTTTAGATAAGACAGCGATCGAGTGTAACAACTTGTTTTTTGTTTTTTTTTTTAGATTGTTGTTGCTATTCTGGGACCAATGACATTGGGTACAAAAATCCAGCTCAGATTAGAACTATTGTACGAAAGAAATCATGCAGCATCACACAGGTAATTTATGTACATTAAAGTGCATTAGAAGTGCACACCAATTAAGTGCACTTTGCGTAAGCTTTAGAGTGAATTTAACTGTGCAAATAAATGTTTTTATTTTTCAACAAAATATATTATTTTATTATTAAAGAGTTTACTGTTTATAAGTGAAAAGACATGAACTAATTGTTTTAAAGATGTAGAGAGTAAGCTCAACGTATTATGAAGTTAATCATTGTTATATATATACTGTAGAAGTTGATGCCAATACTTTTTATCAGTCGGCGTTAGTTTCACAATGATATTCTGGAAGTGCAGATAAATTTGAAATTGGATACAATATACAATAATCTTATAAGTGTGCATAGACAAATGGTCTCATATGTGTGTCAATTTTGGTACGATCATGCTGAAATTTTCAATAAATACATATGAGAGACATGATATGATAGTCCATTTATTAAATTTCATTAAGAAACACAAATTTGATAAACATGCCCCGTAAATGCGATAGTGCGTTATGTGCGTTATAAGCCAATGTCGCAAAATAAATGTATCATTGAAAATTATTCTGATATCGTATGCCCATGCACCCTGTTAATAACAAATTGGCAGTGTCGTCACATGGATGTGATCCAATCTTTTTTTCATAATATGTAGATTTATTTACTTTTAAACAGTTTTCGCATATTCGTAGCGAATCGTAGGCGATGGTTTTGGCACTGCTCCAAAACTTCTTGTGAGACGGTTCATTTTAACCCGTATATATAGCTTCTATAACATTTCAGACTAGAGATTTTGGTCACATTCCATTACGTTGATGTTAAATGTTCAGAAAGATTGTTGGCGCTCTGGACGTGTGCTTGTAAGACATCCTGCAGAAACTATATATACTCTCAACATGTGTTGTTCTTTAGACATTGATAAAACCGAAGTTTGAAGCTCATAGTATCGGTTATGATAGCTGCGGAGATTGTTAGTGACAACAGTCTTCCTAAACTTCCCTGTGGAGAGCAACAAACCATTGCCCAGTAACAAGCCAAGATTACTTATACTAAAACATGACTAAAAATTAAATCAAACTCCCATGTTGATATTAAAGTAAAGGTAGACATACGTTGATTTAGAATAGTGATCACAGATGTTAAAATTTTGTGACATTTACTTTTTACTCAAAATCACATTTATTGGGCCTGTTTATTAAATTTGTGTTTGTAAAAGAATTAAATGAATGGAATTTATTATATACTTACAAATGAAATATTGAGAAATATTGATGAAATAAAATGTGTATTTTCATTTTCCGTATTTTCACTGTAAAAATTTATTTTTCACTGCAGTGAAACATATTTTCCGTATTTTCACTGGTGTCTTGCCGGACTACTTTCTTTTAAATTCTGCCTGTACACAAAATTTAAGGGAAAGACTTTCAAATTTTAATGTCAAAAATGAGAAAAATGTATATAATAAACAGAAAATTCAAGTTTTTTTACTATAAATACATGATTTATTTTCATCTTGTGGCATGAAAACTACCATATTTCACTCGTGGCTACCGCCACTCATGAAATATTTATTTTCATACCACTCGATGAAAATAAATCATGTATTTATAGAAAAAACTTGAGTATCCTCTATGTCATACCATGTCTCTCAACTATATTTATTGAAAATTCGAGCATGGCAGGGTCAATATTGACCCACATTATAAGATATTTATACATGCACTCTTTTAAGATTTGTTATGTGTAGACCTGTGCACGTGTATATATATTGCATTTAGATAAAGGTGTACGAGGGTGGATTTATGTTTTAGTTCAACGATCAACAGTGCTGCATGGTTTCTGAGATTATACCACTGGAGCGCAGAAACTACATGTATTCCTCGGTTACAGTCAAGCAACCTACTGAGTTTCTAGATAAATGAACCCGGGACACGTGCACAGCATAATTAATAACCTTCTAAAGTATTGTTATCACACCGTCTGAGAATAAGTGTACAGTCGCAGTTCTATACACTGTTTGGTATACTAATGGTCGGTATCAGTCAGACCTTTTGAGTCTTGTCACCATCAAACATGGCAATATTTGAAAGCTATTTACAATGTCAATATAGGCTGTATAGTGGCTCGTACTCGATATCTAGGTGTATAGTGTTTTCAGAATAGCATATAAACTATTATGCAATAACACTAAAGGCTATTTAGTGGATCGCAGTCAATATCTATTTATATAGTGTTTTCAGAATAAAGCATAAACTTTAAAGAAAGAGTGAATTAGATTCTATACAGTTAGTAAGATGTAAATTGAAATTGAAAAGTACGTAGTTTTTTATATTCAATTTGTACATAGGTCTTCACCGTGTACACTTTAATTATGCAGTTCATATATATAGTCATATTGTGAAAATAACAAATTGCATAAATCTGGTAAATGGTATAACTTGTACATTAATAATTACACGCATATTTCAAGTAAGAGAAGTACTGTGAAGAATTAATGATGATTTTAAATATTCTTCCTTACATTACTTACAAATGTATTAATTAGCAGGAAACACGGACTTAAATACGGAAAGTAAAATAACTGCAGAAAAGAGAGATATTATATTTAATTCATTCATTTAATTCCAAAATTATGAAACACATCTACATATATATATATATATACATTTTTATGCCACCGCAATCTGCGATGCGGTGGCATATAGCGATTCACCTGTGTGTGTGTGTGTGTGTGTGTGTGTTTGTGTGTGTGTGTGTGTGTGTGTGTGTGTGTGCGTGTGTGTGTGTGTGTTATATAGATTATATAGTGAACTTAAAAAATCTTCTTGTGAAAAACTACTATTCCAATTTCAAACAAACTTGGCAGGATTGTTCCTTGGGTAAAGGGCTTCCAAAGTTGTTCAAAGAATTTCATTCCATGCAGAAATCTGGTTGCCATGGCAACCAAAAGGAATTATAAGAATAAATTAAAAAAATCTTCTTGTAAGACCCAAAAGGCCTAGAGCTTAGATATTTTGCATAAGGTATTGTCTGGAAGACCTCTAACAAGATTGTTCAAATTATAGCCCTGGGGTCAAAATTGGTCCCGCCCCGGGGGTCATTGATTTTCACTATGTACATATAGTAAAAACTTTAAATACCTTCTTGTAATAACCCAAAAGGCCTAGAGCTAAGATATTTTGCATAAGGCATCATCTGGTAGACCCTTACCAAGATTGTTCAAATTATAGCCCTTGGGTCAAAATCGGCCTGCCCCGGAGTCATGGATTTTCGCTATATGTACATATAGTAAAAACTTAAAACACCTTCTTGTAAAGACCCAAAAGGTCTAGAGCTTAGATATTTTGCATAAGGCATTGTCTCGTAGACCTCTACCCAGATTGTTCAAATTATAGCCCTGGGGTGAAAATCGGCCCCGCCCCAGGGGTCATTGGTTTTCCTTATATGTATATAGAAAAAACTTTAAAAAATTAGATATCTTGCATGAAACATTGTGTTGTAAACCTCTAGCAAGAGTGTTCAAATTATAGCCCTGGGGTCAAAATTGGTTCCGCCCCGGGGGTCATTGATATCATTATGTACATATAGTGAAAAAAAATATATTTTTGTCAGAACGTTCAAGACATAGAGCTTTGATATTTGATATATAATATCATCTATAGGTCCTCTACCAAAGTTGTTCAAAAATTGGCACTGTTCGGGGGCAGTGATACTCATTATGTACACATATTAAAAACAGAAAATAAAACAAATGTTTGATGAATGGGAGAAAGCTATAGCTTAGATATTTGACTTCAAATGTTGTTTGGTGGACCTGTATCAAGATTGTTATTAAACCCTTGGGTCAAAATTATGCCTTGCCCAAGGAGACAGTGACCTACTTTCTTGTCCTTTGATGTACAGCAATGAAATTTTGACCATGTGCACAGTTTTAGTAAAATTGAACTTTGATCTAGATTTTGATGATGTGACCTACTTTCTTGTCCTTTGATGCACAGCTATGAAATTTGAACCATGCGGTGGCATAGCATTTTTCTCAAATGCAATCTTGTTTTGTTATTGTCCTACATTTTCCGATTTTCACCTAGTAGCTTCATTATCATTGAGCCCAGGGTCAGGGTCTTTCAAATAGAATGGTCTGGAGTCGGAGCAACTTCACGAAAAAAAAGATGTCTCGGTACGCGAGTCCCGTGATTGAGTTATTTACCGGCCGTGATCTGGCATCGTGCATCACCATTCAAAAATCAAATTATAAGCTAATGTTTTGTTAAATCAATCAAAAAAATTACTGAAAATTAACCCGAGTCATTAAACACTGGCTAATGAATTATTTTATAATGATTTTGAATTTTATTTGTTATTTGTTATCTTTTTTCAGATTAACATATTTCTGCTGC